TGGATTTTCTCAGGTTAAATCCTAGGCCTCACTCAATACAAACCCCTGGATTTTCTCAGGTTAAACCTGAGGTTAAGCCTGGCTTTAGGAGCTGCTCACCACTCTCAGCCAGGGCTGCAGCCACCTCATTGAGGGTGGAGTAGATGTTGCAGGCAGCCCAGCGGCACTGAGCTCCCAGAGCTCCCAGGGTCTCCATCAGCACCTGCAGCCCAAAAAAACACAAAAAAAATGGGAATTATTGGGGAAAAAATAACGGGAAATTAGCTCAGAAAATGGGATTTTATTGGGGAAAAAAACAACGGGAGATCAGCTCAAAAAATGGGATTTATTAGGAAAAAAACAATGGGAGATCAGCTCAAAAAATGGGGATTTATTGGGGAAAAATAACGGGAAATCAGCTCAAAAACCAGGGTTTTATTGGGGAAAAATAACGGGAAATCAGCTAAAAAATGGGGGTTTATTGGGAAAAACAACGGGAAATCAGTGGCATGAAAATGGGGATTTACTGGGGAAAAACACTGGGAAATTGGCTTAAAAGAAAGAGGATTTATTGGGAAAAAACCATTTGGAAATCAGCTCAAAAAATTAGTATTTATTGGGAAAAACAAACAGGAAATCAGATCAAAAAATGGGGATTTATTGGGAAAAACCACTGGGAAAATCAGCTTGAGGTTATAAAAATGGAATTTTTTAGCAAAAACATTGGAAAATCATCTCAAGGGGATGGGCAGTGGGAATTCCCAGTCTGGGGTCAGTTTTAGGGTTTGGGCAGTGGATATTCCCAGTCTGGGGTCAGTTTTGGGGTTTGGGCTGTGGTTATTCCCAGTTTGGGGTCAGTTTTAGGGTTTGAGCAGTGGTTATTCCCAGTTTGGGGTCAGTTTTAGGGTTTGAGCAGTGGTTATTCCCAGTTTGGGGTCAGTTTTATGGGATGGGCAGTGAATATTCCCAGTTTGGGGTCAGTTTTAGGGTTTGGGCAGTGGATATTCCCAGTCTGGGGTCAGTTTTAGGGTTTGGGCAGTGGATATTCCCAGTCTGGGGTCAGTTTTAGGGTTTGGGCCGTGGTTATTCCCAGTCTGGGGTCAGTTTTAGGGTTTGGGCAGTGGATATTCCCAGTCTGGGGTCAGTTTTAGGGTTTGGGCAGTGGTTATTCCCAGTTTGGGGTCAGTTTAGGCTTTGGGCAGTGGATATTCCCAGTTTGGGGTCAGTTTTGGGGTTTGGGCCGTGGTTATTCCCAGTCTGGGGTTTGGGGTGGGGCTCTCACCGCTGTCTGTGCTGTGATGTGAGTGCACCCCACAATCTTGGCCCCAGCCAGGGGTTTCTCCCCCTGAGCTCTCTTCCTCAGAGCCATCAGGGCTGGCATTTCTGCAAGGAAAATGGGAAAAGGATTCCAGGGATGGGATAATGGGATCAATGGGACGAGAAGAGGGAAGAGCACAGGAGGAACAGCCCCCCCCAATCTGGTGATCCCATAAATTTGCACGGCTTCAAAACACCCAAATCCTTAAGAGCAAACCCCAAATACAAAATGACCCCAAATCCCTCCGGATTTTTTCCCTGTTATTTTCAAATTTCTCCCCAAGGAGAATCTGCCCAGGGCTGAGGATTTGGGATTTGCCGATTTTGTCTCCAATATCCAACACCTCAACCCTGCCTGGTCTTTTTTTTTTTTTTGAGGTTATCAAGCTAAACCACAACCCCACCCCAAGAAGAATGGGGTGAGGAGGGCAGCAACCCCCTGAGCCTCCCTGGGAGGGGATTTGGGATGTGGGTTTGGGGATTTGGGGTGGGGATTTGGGGCAGGGATTTGGGATTTGGGATTTGGGGTCCCCTCACCCTGCTCGGCGATCTCGATCTCGCGCCGCCCGAACTCGGCCTGTTTGATGTTCTTGACGCAGAAATCGCTGCTGCCCTTGGAGTTCTTCTGCTGCTTGTCCCGGGGGGACGTCTCATCATCAGAGCTGTCCGTGTAGGAAGCAGCTGCAGGAGGACAGGGGGACAGAAATGGAGTTTTTTGGGATTTTTTTGGGATTTTTTGGGGTTTTTTTGGGGATTTTTTTGGGATCAAACGTTCCCGAAATCCCCACGGCCCACAGAAGGTGTGTGTGGGTGTTTGCCATCCACAGTTGGGATGTCTCCTTCTCCTCACACGGGTGATTTTCCCAGCTGGATTTATCTGGGATGAGTTTTGAATTTTTATCTGTCTCCACTTCAGCACAGCAGAGATGATGGGATGGGGCACGGCCCAGTTCCCACACGGGCTCCTCTCCACGGCCTTCTCCCACCTCTGATCCCAAAACTTCTCCCACCTCTCCTCCCAAAAATTCTCCCATCTCTCATCCCAGAAGTTCTTCTGTCTCTCACCCCCAAAATTCTCCCACTTCTCTTCCCAAAGTTCTCCCATCTCTCTTTACAAAGTCCTCCCACCTCTCCTCCCAACCTTCTTCCACTTCTCTTCCCCAGAGTTCTTCCATCTCTCATCCCAAAAGTTCTCATTCCAGAAATTCTCCCACTTCTTGTCCCAAAAGTTCTCCAACCTCTCATCCCCGAAGTTCTCATCCCAAATGTTCTCCCACCTCTCTTCCCTAAATTCAGGCCTCTACATCTCCAAGCCATCCCCCAAAATGCCTGCTGAGGTTTGGAGCATTTGCTCCTAATCCTATCTCACAGCAAAAAATATATTAAAATTAACAAATCTAAACCTCTACACTAAATTAATTTTTCTGCCCAGCCACAGGAAGGAAAACGATGCTCAAAGCAAGGAACAAAACGTGGAAAACTTTTCCTAGGAGGAGAGGAAAGAATGGAAAGAAAAAGGGAAAACAGCAGCAGCTGCACACTGGGGACACACGGCGAGACAACAGAACACCAGAATAATTTAATTTGGAACCCAAACACAAAAAGAGACATTTCCAGGGCTCCCCGAGGGCAGGGCAGGTGTGGGGACCCCTCTCACACCTGAGCTGTAGCTGTCAGTGGAGGACTGAGAGATGGAGCGCGACAGCGACCGCCGGCCGATCTTGCTGGGCCTCTTGTTGAACTCCTGCTTTTGGTCAGCAAACTGGATCTGTGGGGAGAAATCCGCAGATTTCCTGTCAGAAACGCCAAACATCGACCCCAAAACCACAAAGCAATGAGCAGACACGGTCTCAGTCACAGCCTGGAGCACGATTCCTGTCATTTCATGGGAAATTCCCCGTTTTGTTTCATTTCACTCCTTTCCGGGCAAGAGCAAAGCTGGGGAATCGTGGCTGGAGAACAGGAGATTTTAGGAGCACACAGAACACGGAGGGAGGATCAGAAACAGCCACGGGGAGGGAAAATCCAGCCCAAACTCCAGTTCCAGGCAGGGCAGTGCTGGGATTAAGGAGCTGATCCCGGCGGGACGGGGGCTCTGCACACACCAGGGTTTCTGTTCCTCCTCTGAGAAGCTGCTGGCCTGAAATAACTTCTCTTTTTTGTCCTTTTTTTTCCCCCTTTTCTGCCCTTCTTCCTCCCTTTTCTGCCCTTTTTCCTCCCTTTTTCTGCCCTTTTTCTTCCCTTTTCTGCCCCCTTTTTTTTTTTTTTTTCCCTTCATTTATAACAAATCCCTCCATGGCTGAGCAGCTCCATCAAAGGAGGAGGTGATTGGAGTGAAGTGGTGCTGGACACATGCAGGGGGGTTCTGATAAAGGGGGAATAATTTGGGTTAAATTCACATTTTCCTTTCCCACATCACCTTTTCAAGGGAATTTCACAGAGAGGGGGAAAAGAGAATTTCAGAGAGGGGAAAAAGGGAATTTCACAGAGGGGGGAAAAAGGGAATTTCAGAGAGGAGGAAAAAGGGAATTTCACAGAGGGGAAAAAGGGAATTTCACAGAATCCCAGCATGGTTTGGGCTGGAAGGGAGCCGAGGGATCAGGCAGTCCCAGCCCCTTTGATATCAAGGAAAGCAGTTCCTGGCCCAGTCTGAGTGGAAGGCAAAGGGAGCTGGAAGGGATTTTATGGCTCAGAGCAAAGATAAATCCACCTCAAATAAAAGATGTTTTTACCAAACTAAAGGATTTTCACAGGAAAACGAGAAAACCAATGCAGAGAAAAGATCTCAGAAATTTCCACTGCAGAAAATCCCAGAGTTTAACATGTGACCACTAACTCCAATGGATGGCCAGCCAGGGACAGCAAATGGTGATTTCAGCAGTTTGGATGGGTTGTATGGAAATGGAAAAGGTGTTTTGTGTGTGTGGGGTGGATTGGTTGTCATGTATTAACATGCTCTGAATATAATATATATTATATATAATAATATAATTACATATATATATTATATATTATATATAATACATATTATAGATAATATTTATTGCTATTATATGCTATATAATTATATGCATACATTATATAATTATATATAACTATATATGTAATATATCTAATATATAATTATAGATATAATTACATATAATATATAAAATAATATATAATAATATATATAAAATTTTATATTATATTGTATTAATTGTATATTGTATTATATGATATCGTATTAATTACATATTATTTTATATTGTATTATGTTATATTGTATTATATTATACTATATTAAATTAAATTATAGTGTATTCTATTCTATTCTATTATACTGTATTATATTGTATTATACTATATTAAATTAAATTATAGTGTATTATATTATATATTATATTAATTATATATTATTATTATATAATA